TTTTCTTTTAATTTTAATTCTGATACAATCATCTTGTGAACCACGTTTTGCAACTGGCATTATCACAGGTTGATGAGGGAATGATGAGGTTAAAGTACAAATTCTATAATCACTGGGTGATGACCCTTTTACTTTAACTGATAAAATTCCATTTTTATCTGGTTGATCCAATCCTTAAAGAATGCAAAATCCTTTGCATCAGGTAAATTATTACCATCAAGTTTTTGTAGAGTAACGTGAGAATGTCCTTTTATCACGCCATTTTTCAACTGTTGAGGTTCGGCATAATATTTTTCATTTGGATCGGTGAAGAAACCGGTTATTAAATTTGAAGTTTTTTTTTCAACTCTAAATGAATGCTGCGATTTTAGTATTTGACCATTAATTGGTTCTATTATTAAAGTTGATGGCATTTTATTGACAGATGGGATTTCTCCTTGTATTGTTTGCGAGCAAGATCCTTGACGAATTTGTTGACTGTTTGTTGATTTTTTGTTTTTACATAAATTCTTATTAAGTTTTTTATCTCCAGATACTATTATTATGGAAGAGTATGGAAGAGATGACAATTAATATAATGAAGAATAAATTAGGTTTCATTTTGAAAATTATTTGGATGCACCAGGCACTCGATTCCCTAACATTAATTTAAAAGAGATATATATATATAATTTAAAACAATGCGTAAATTTTTTGAACAGTTTTACGCGATGATTATATACCATTAAAAGGTGAAACACATTTGAAAGTTTTATATACTGAATTCATATTATTATTATATGAATTTTCTTTATTAATATTAAAAATAAAAGAGTGGTAAAAATATTATTAATATAAATTTTGTCATGACACAATAAATTCCTGTAATGGGTGCACGGTGGTTTTCAGAATAAATATTTCTTAATGAATAATAAATAAAATTAACTATATATAATAATAATAATAATAATAATAATGACATTCATTATTTAGCTCCTAAAATTTTAAATGATAATAAATGATTATTTAAAATTGAATCTATATTAGAAATATTTTCATCATCACTTGTTTCAATTATGTTATCTTCTCCTTCATCATTTTCTTCTAAGTTCAAAAATATTACTATTATCAATAATCCCTTTTGTTAGTAAATCATTGCAGTAATGACATTGACTTGAAAGATTTAATAAAAAACATTCATAATGATATTGCAAGTGTGCAATCTGAGTTTCTATTTAATAGGTTATTTACTTATTCAACACACAGCCTACTCGCTGACACAGGTAAAAAAAGGAAATTCGGAATAAAATCGGTGAAATATCAGATGCCTGATTTTTAAGAATATTGATGATTTTCTCATATCTGACTGTTATTGAATTTTGGTGCACATTGGCAACAATCAGTAACCAAAAGGTAGAAACTCAATAATCAAAAATCAGGCAAAGAAATGTATCATATCAGACACCCCGAACTTTAGCTGATCTTTTCTTCCAATTGCTGAATGATTATTCACTGATTTATGAAGAAGTATTATACTGATTTTTATCAGATTTGCTAAATGTTGAAACTCATTCATTTGTTTATTTTAAACTCAGACAGGGTTTTTTCTTACATTGGAAATTGAACCCCACTTACCTCTGTATCCATTGTTCGCTTCTTATCCATTACACTATATAACTTATTTCTCCGTAAGTTATTGTAATTGTTTATTATAACTTGCATCAATAATAATGATAAGGTATTCAATGACCAATTAGAACAATTCGATAACAAATCAAAAAAAAACCCCAATTATTCATCCGATTTTTGGCAATGTTAATAATCGGTTGGCAATCGGTAATCCTGCATTTTAACTAATTAGCTTATTAAAAATAGTGACAATTCAGAAAACCCCGATTTTTAGCAATGTTAATAATCGGTTGACAGTCGGTAATCCCGAATTTTAACTAATTAGCTTATTAAAATAGTGACACTTCAGAAAACCCGGATTTTATCAATTCTAAAAATTGTAAGAATCCATAATTTATTGTTTATGATTGATCAATTTGACAAAAATCGGGAGTATTACCGATTTTTCTTTTTTTTACTTGTGGCAATTGACCTCGAGATCATATTACTTGAGACATGGTAGTTGCTGACCTAGATAATAATAATAAAAAGGTTCCATCCATTGTATATACAAAAAGATTATTTCGGTTATTTGTAAATTCAAGCCCCGAATTTTATTTTTTGGCCAAAAATGAGAAGAACTTCAATGTAAAAAAAAGAAAGCATGAATTTCCGTATATTTTAATTGGATAAAAAGTGGCCGTATATCATATGATCAGATGTTCAACAAGTTTAATTAGAACCATTGACTATGAAATCGCCAAGTCAATTACACCTCTCAAACCCTATACAGTTTACTCTCTATATAGCGGACCATTTGGTTTAGTACTAGGAAGAATATCTGTTATAGAGGGGATGCGTTATAGACAGAATAATTTATTGATACATATAAATTGGGCTTAAATTCTCAGTCCGTTGTAAAACGTGCCTTGCACCACTGTTCATTTATAAACGATCGTCAAATCCTTAGGTTTTGCAAAATACCAAAAAAAGAAATGTGTTTATTAAATTATTTCTTATTAAAAAGCTAAAATGTCATTTCATGAGTTATATAAATTATTAACACCAGACAGAGAAGACTTAGTAGTTGAAATTTATAATGAAATGCGTAGTATTGCTTATTCTGCTTTTCCAGCTATTTCCGACCTTGAAAATAAAAAAAGTTATTTTTTACAATTAGTCAATGAAAACCAAAAACTATTAGAAAATGAAAAGAAATTTTGTAGAGAAAGGTTTATTTATAATTTTGAATTAGATAATGCAACTAATAAATGGGGTGAACCAAGAGAATGCAATAATTGTGAGACAACAAGATACTCTGATAAATATTGTGA